AGAAGTAAGCCTGAGCACTACTGGGTGTGGCCCCCAAACAAATCTTCTGGAGCCAGAGTGAGAGCACAGGGGTAGAGCATTTGCTTTGCATGCTGCTAATGGAGCTTGGATGTCCAGCACCCCGTATGGTTCACCAACCACTGCCAGGAGAAAATCCAAAGCACAGTTGAGTAACTGAGCATTGCTGGGTGTGGCCCAAAAACAAAAACAAATTTTTCTGAGCAGGGAGAGAAGTTGAAGAGCTAGGGCTCGTGTTTTCATGTGAGAGGCCTGAGTTTGGTCCCCGTCCCACGGTCCCCAGGGCACCGTCACACGGAGATTGACCCCCAAGTCCTGTTGTCTGTGGCTGCCAAGCAAAAACAGAAAGAAATTCTCCCAAGGGTAGTTGAACATTTTTCTAACTGAAAAAAAAAATTAATCTTTTCCAATGAGAAACAGATTGCTCAGAATTTCCCCACCCAAGACTGACTCAGAACCTTTGCAAATTCCTCTGGGCTGTGCCCAGTTTTATTTATTGTTTTTCTTCCTCTTCCTTTCCCTTGTTCTTGTTCAATGATTAAAGGTCACGCAATCTTGGTGATGTTTATTCACTTGCTCCTGGTGGGGGCTGGGGGTTGCCCATTTGGAGTTCTACACTTGGCAGAAACACGCTTCGCTGTGACGTTGGCATCCTTCAGCTGCAGTGCTCGTCCACTTGGCTGTGTAGGGCTCCCTCCCCAAAGCGGGGCAGCTGCTGGGGTATGGGGACCGGGCGACCTGGCGACTGCTGGGACTGCCAGATCTTCAGTGTGGGTGGTCCCAGGAGCCACGCCTTGAGGAGTCAGGAACTGAGATGTGAGGGTGGCACTGCAGTGTGGGTGTGTCAAAAGCTGGACTCACTGGCCTTAGGAGCTCAGGCATCCTGGCCTCCACGCTGCTGTCCACACTAGCTCCTTCAGCCGAGTCTCTACTCTAAACGGGTTCAAGTAACTAAACGTGGAGGGTCATGAAAAAGATTTTAAACACTGGCATTGAGATACAATTTTGTATGAGTTATTGCCAGTTAATGTTTGGTGTGTATACTCACTTTACAGACCTGGACAACCCAGGTTGCATAAAGGATTTGGGGCAAAAAGGGGTTGAGAGGGGTCAGAGAGTACAAGAGAGAGTACAAGAGAGGGGTACAAGAGAGTACAAGGTCAGAGAGGGGTCAGAGAGTACAAGAGAGTACAAGGTGATGGGTCACTCACCTTGCACGTGACTGACTCCAGTTCGATCCCCAGCACCACATATGGTCCCCAAGCCCTGCTGGGAGCGATACAGAGACAGGAATAAGCCCTGAGCACAGTCAGGTGTGACCCCACAACCAAAACAGATGGTGAGAGCCGGAGCAATAGTACAGCGGGGAGGGCATTTGCCTTGCACGTGGATGACCTGGGTTTAATCCCCAGCATCCCATATGGTCCCTGGAGCACCGCCAGGAGTAATTCCTGAGTGCAAAGCCAGGAGTAACCCCTGAGCATCACCAGGTATGACCCAAAAAGAAAACAAAAACAAAAACCAAAAAACAACCAACCCCAAACAGATGGTGGGCTGGTACATCTCTACCTCCTTCCTGGTTTGAGAGATGGCGCCTCTCTTTCCTCTCTGCACTTATGTATAAATGCTGTTTTTTAAAATAAAATAAAACATCACTTGTTTCCTTTATTTCTACTTCTTAGACGTTGCTGGCTTTAAGTCAAAGATGGCTATTTCATTTCTTACAGGGGGATTTCTGGTGGGGGATTCCTCACCAGACCCAAAGGCGGGTGCTTTGTTCTCTCCAGAAAGATTTCAGAAGAGAAGTCTTACAGAGGGACAAAAAAAAGAGCTGTTAATGGGGGGGGGGGGGGGAAATGCCATGCAAGTGGAGAAGTGCAGCCGGCAGTCTGGCAGGAAGCGCATCATGCCTTTCCACGGACCTCGCTTGCCAGTCAGCTTGTTCTCGGTCCCTCTTCTGGGTGTCCGTGTTGGTGCCGCTTCCTCTGACTCCCTCTGGTTCCCACTGATAGTTCCCCTCCTCAGACGCTGTCTCCATTGGGGGTTCTGGGAGCGACACTTGAGCGAAGTCCACGTGATTCTCAGGTGCACCTGCTGGATTGAGGTTAGTTCTGGGTCAGAACACAACGTGGAAGATGCTGCATCTGCTCCCCTGCTGGCTCATGCCCCTCCCCTGGCATGTGGCAGGAGATAGCTGAGTCCAGTCCAACGGACACTCAGGATTGCCAAACCCAGCTGCCACCCCGTCTCTTCCTTGAGCCTGGGCAGTCCTGCTTTGCCCACCCTGGGTTTTCTGGGGGGCCACAGGGCCACTTGTGTTACCTGGCCTGGCAGCAGTGTGTGAAGGGACGTCCTCTAACAGACCCCAGCATTTATTGAGATGAGGCTATTTTATTTGCCTTTGACCTGATGACAGATGCAATGGCTAATGTTTCTGGCATACCACTTGGAAATAAGAGCTAAGCAACAATTTGTGGCTGACTGGTGGGAAAAGCGCGGGTGAGGCAATGAAGAGTATTAAGAAATGTAGACGTGCATTTGGGTTAAAAATTGAAGATGAAATCTTTCCTGACAGCACACACTTAGAACCTAAAACTTTTAGATGGATTAGCCACACATTATACCTCCCTCAAAACCCTGAAAACTAAGGAAAATAAGCAAAGAGCAGTTTTACAGTCTTGAGGAATTATAAGCAAGCTATAAAACCCTGAAACCGTAAAATAAAAATTGAAACGTCTGTCTACAAAATACTTAAAACTGCCTCATTTGTGCTATGTACAATGCCCAGGTACGGTGTACAATTTCTCGGCACACGGCAAAAGTGTGTGCATCTACACAACTGAAAAAGAATTGCTGGGGCCAGGAAGACGGGCCAATGGTTGGATTCCACCACAAAATAGATCCCCAAATGGCTCCCAAACCCGGAGCACTGCCGCTGGGCGTGTGACGGGGAGACCTGGTGCGGGCCGTGCACCCACTACAGCACCACAGACAGGTGCGCGGACGCTGAGACCTCACCACAGATACGAGAGGGGGGAGGGGACGGCAAATGCCGAATCAGGTGGATGAGTCCAAAGAAGCCATTACAGTGAAGAGCGTGACAGACAGTAAATATTTCCAACATCTCTAAGAAGCTCTGTATTTATGTTCAGGATATGTAGAAAGCAGGAAAAGTCCTATTTGAGCACACAACACTGCAGCACCCTGAATGGAAAGTGTAAATGAAGGCACCAGGCATCGCTTTCTCTTCCAGTAGTCTAGCCGCTCAGAAACGCCTCGTGCGTTATGTATACAAACGGAGGAGGCAAATGGAGGTTTGCTGAAGTGTGCTTTATATTGGGAGGGGGTGGGGGAGGGGTGGGGGAGAAACAGAAGGCCTATCTGGAGAGAGTTACCTGGACAAAATCAAGTACCATGCACACTTGCTTATTTCTCAGGAATGGTTTCATATGTAGCACTGTCCTCCCGTTGTTCATCGATTTGCTGGAGTGGGCCCAGTAACGTCTCCATTGTGGGACTTGTTGTTTTTGTGTTTGGCATATTGAATACATCACGGGTAGCTTGCCAGGCTTTGCCGTGTGGGCAAGATACTCTTGGTAGCTTGCCGGCTCTCCGGGAGGGGCGGAGGAATCGAACCCGGCTCCACCGGGTCAGCCGTGTGCAAGGCAAACGCCCTACCGCTGTGCTATCGTTTCATATGTATATCTATAAAATTATCTTCAAGAGTTGCTATGGTAACTTAGATATCCCTCTTCTTCAACCCTCTATATGTGTGCTTGTGCCTGAATGTTAGACAGGGCTGGGGCGGAACAGAGTTGGGATTACAGAGCAGCAGGGTAGGTTACTGAGAGGGAGGAGTTTTATATTTTACTTGGTGTGGTTTATTAATTAGTGATCCAATCACAGGAACGTAAATGTGTGTGTTGGGGAAGCTTGGGTGGGGGCACTTTTTCAATCCCTAAAGTTTCAGTAACCACTCATTATGAGCAGCAGAAATTCCACGGGTCTGGGCATTTTGGATCAACTTTTTATCTGGCTAAACTACCAAGGAAGGTTCTAGCACCAGAGGCGAGGCATTCTCCACATTCCTGGAAAAAAATGCTTCTGAGCCCGCTCATCTGGCCCTGGTGACCCGTTGAGGGCTGTTAAGATGCAAGTTTCAGTTCAAGATGTATTGGTGAAACATGATTTCTGTGTATAGACTACTGTTGATCTAGTCCTGGACCAAGAAGGGGTTTAACTCACTTCTGATGTTAGGGTGACAGCTTTTAGTTTTTGCTAAAGCAACTTTGGGGGGGGGGTAGAGAGGTTTTATTACAGGCAGACTTCTTGATGACTCGAGCTGAGGACCGGACACCCCATTTTCGCCGCCAGCACAGCCAGGAGAGAGCCCTGAGCGGACAGCCAGGAGTCATCCCTGAGTACCTCTGGTTTTGACGCCCTCCACCCTTTTTTAAAGCAATTTTCTTCTTTTTCTTGTTTGATCAGTGTGTTCTGTACTCTTAGGTGAAGGGCTCGAGTTTTGTGTCCTAAACTGGGCAGAGGTGGGAGTTCTAAAATGCACTGAAGCATCCACTCCGTTTATCCTGGGCGCACTGAGAGCTGAGCCGAGGGTTTCTCGCTGGCTCCCTGCTGGGACTGGTGCAGTCAGCGGAGCTCTGGCACCCCAGGGAGCGCGCTGCCCCAGCTGTGAGGTCCGGGAAGGGTCCTTGCTCGGAGACTGGCTGGCGTGAGGAGCAGCCAGCAGGGAGGAGGCGACTGGGACCGGAGCTCCGCTGCGCCACTCCCTAACCCGGACGGTGCCGCCGACGCACCCCAGCTTGTCCGCCGCAGAGGCTGCCCACGTCGGGATCCCTGATCACGGGCTCGGACCCTGCCCGGCGGAGCCTTCCAGCCTGCTCTACGGGAGCGAGCACGGGCCCGGCAGACCGCCCGGAGGAGGCGGCGGAGCAGGGGCTGCGGGGTCCCGGTCTTCCCGGCGCGCGGGCGGGGCGCGCGCCTGCTCCGCCCACGGGGTCTCGGGGCGCTCCCCGGGGGCTCGGCCTGCAGGGGCGGGGTCGGCGCGGCGCGGAGCCGCCGAGTCCGAGTCCGGGCAGGGTCGGACGCCGCCGGCCGCACCATGCGGGCCCCGCTCGGCGCCGCGCTCGCGCTCCTCGCGCTGCTCTGCGGGGCCGGTGAGTGCGGGCGCGCGGGGCGGCGGCGCGCGTGGAGAGCCAGCGTGGCAGCACGCCAGGGCGTCCGTGGGCCTGTGCGCGCGCGGGTACCTGGTAACAGGCGGGTGTGTGATCGTGTGTGAGTAGGTGACCGAGTATGCGTCTATGCATGTGGGTGGGTTTGTATGTGAGCGTCTGCGCGCACGTGTGGGTGTGCGTGCGGGGATGCGTGTGTGTACACGTGTGCATACGCGTGCGTGTGCATGTGTGCGCGTGATTTGTGCGAGCATGTGCGTGTACGTGCAGGTCAGAGAAACTAAAAGGGCTTGAGAAGGGAGAGAGCAGGGGCCAGGAGAAGAAGGGGGTGTGGAGGCACATTCCCAAGGTGCTTACTTGGAAGCTGAGCTCGGCGGGCCCAAGCCGGTGGCCCTGGGGGAAGGGGCTGACTGAACTGAGGAGATGGGGGACGGGACAGCTGAGCTGCCTGGGTGGGCGAGTTGGGGAGGGGCCTACCCCTGCGGGGAGCTCCTGGGTCCTCCTGGCAACCTTCCAGCGGGCGCAGCGCTCCAGTCCCCGTTGTGTGCGCGCGCCCAAGCCCCGCCGCGGCCCCTCTGCCCGGGCTCGGACAGCCCTCAGTGCCTCCTCCCAGTGGGCACCAAGGGGAGGCTGGGTTTCACGAGAAACAGAGCATCCGGGCTGTCCAGGCCCCCTGACCCTGGATCCTGGGCCCCAGGAGTCACGTCCCACCCTCCCTGGAAACTGCTGGCTCCTCCCTTGCCGCTGCCTCCGAGCACTGACCCACGGAGGAGGCCCACAGGCTCGGCAGTGTGGCTGCGCGCCCGCGGCCACTCTGGGGAGCTGCTCTGCCTTTCTGAAAGTCGGGGAGATGCGCCCCCGGCTGCAGAACTAACCGGCTGTAGGGATGGGACAGCTCCCCCTTCCCTCCCGCGGCCCCCCTGAGAGCTGCTCTGTATCGGTTCGGGTTCGCTGGTTTGGAAGGAAACAGCAAGGCCTTTGGGATGAGGCCCAGCAGAACGCAGTCCCCTGGGAACAGGGCGGGAGGGGCTTTTCCCAGCATTCCCCTCCCCTCCCCTCCAGTCCGAGGGAACAAAGCCTCATCTGTGCCCTCAGAAGCAGGGCTGGGAACGAGCGTAGGGTTGACCCTGTGCGGCCCCTTTGCACATGTTCTCATTTTGCACTGCTGTTCGTATTCGTTCGCTGCTTCCCATTCCTTGCTGCTGCAATGCGCTTGGGGCTACTCTTCCTTGCGGGAACTGTGTGCGGGATGGCATTTGGCATCGGGGCAATGTCAGGGATCAAGCTCGGGGCCTCTGGCCTGCAAGGCTGGGATGTAGCTGGAATCCCTGTGGCACAGCAGGGCACAGCAGGCCACCAGGCACAGTGACGCCACAGGGCCAGCTTCCGTGCAGGTTCTGGGGGCTGCACTCTCTTCATCACTAAGTTATGCCCTGGGGCCAACCCCAAATGGGATTTTTCATGGTTTTTGTAGTGCTGGGGATCAAACCCAGGGCTTCACCTATTCCCGACACGTGGTCTGCCTGAGTGACACCCCTGCTCAAACACTTGTTTGTTTTCTTTTTGGGTCACACCTGGTGATGCACAGGGGTTACTTCTGGCTCATGCACTCAGGAATTTACTCCTGGCGGTGCTCGAGGGACCATATGGGATGCTGGGAATCGAACCCGGATCGAACGCATGCAAGGCAAACTCCCTCCCCACTGTGCTATCACTCCAGCCCAAGACAAGAACTTTTTTTTTTGCTTTTTGGGTCACACGTGGCGATGCACAGGGGTTACTCCTGGCTCATGCACACAGGAATTACTCCTGGCAGTGCTCGGGGGACCATATGGGATGCTGGGAATCGAACCCAGGTCAGCCGCGTGCAAGGCAAATTCCCTACCCTCTGTGCTATCGCTCCAACGCCTCAAACACTTGTTTTGAAGCTTCCTTCTGGGTACTCAGTACTGTGACTGACACAGACAAAACCAGAGCCCAGAGGCACAGCCTTTCCTGCAGGCGACCCTGACTCCATCTGGCTTCTCTAAGTTTCCCTGAGCACCAGCCAGGAGGAAGCCCCTAGCACTGCTGGGCGCAGCCTTAACACCCCCAGGAGAGGCAAGGACCCCAGAATCAGTGTGGCTGCGTTACACCAGGCTGTAACCAGAGATGGGCGCCTCGACCATGAGCTGAGCTGCCCCCAGACTCCTGTGACTCTTTAACTTTTGATTTTGAAATCTTCGAGATAAGGAACCAGAATAGTATGATGGGCCACCGTGTACTTACTGCCTGTGTCAGCAGTGGTCAGTTTAGGGACAGTTTTATTTCATCTATGATGCATTTTCTTTCTCCTTCCTGTACTTTTTTTCATTCTTTTCTGATGTGAGGGGTTAAAACCCAGGGCGTGGGGCAAGTGCTCTGCCTTATCCCAGCCCCTTCCTGGACGATTGAAAAGGAAACCCCAGGCATTTTCTTTTTTCATCTGCAAATTCACATCTCTAAAATATCTATATCTGGGAGCTGGAGCAATAGCACAGTGGGTGGGGTGTTTGCCTTGTATGTGGCCCACCCGGGTTCAATTCCCAGCATCCCATAGGGTCCCCTGAGCACCGCCAGGAGTAATTCCTGAGTGCATGAGCCAGGAGTAACCCCTGTGCATTGCCGGGTGTGACCCAAAAAGCAAAAAAATAAAAATAAATTTTAAAAAATATCGATATCTGATCAATAAGCATCACAGCAAGATTACCATGGCCTAACAGTGGACAGATATTCCTGATAGCATGGAACAGCAAATCAGTGTCAGAGGCTCTGATTCCATCATGGGTTTGGCACAGATCAACTACAAATCAAATTATATCAAATCCAAATGAGACACAGGCATTGCTTTAGGTGATATCAGTCAAGTCAATTTTAAAATACAAATGTTCTCCCTCTCCTCTTTCTTTTCTGGGGGAGTGGGGTAGGGTGGGCAACACACTCAGCTGTGCTCAGGGCTTACTCCTGGCCCTGTGCTCAGGGATCACACACACAGCACCCGGCCTAGAACTCAGTGGCAGACAAAGGATTTCAGTCCTGTCCCTGCCTCCTCCCTGGTAATGGTGATCTCTTCCTTTCGACTTTAGACATTCGAATCATAAAAAGGGCTCTGGGAGTGACAGTACAGCAGGGAAGGCACTTATCTTGCATACAGCTGACCCAGGTTCGATCCCCTGAGTCTTGTCAGGAGTGATCCCTGAGCACAGAGACAGGAGTAAGCCCTGAGCACCAATGGATGTGTGGCCCCCAAGACCAAAAAAAAAATTTAAAACAATATAAAGGAACCAAAGAGAAGTGAGTTCACAGAATGAAACGGAATAAGGTGGAAGGAGGCATGTGAGCCCTTAACAAGACTCGGCCTCCAGCAAGCAGCCCCGAGACGGTGGTCCCACGGAGGGCCAAGAGTTCTGCTATCCTGATGGTGAAGAGTGGCCCAGGTGCAGCCAGGACAGAGAGCTCAGAGCCGGGGCAGCATGGAGCCCATGGGAGAAGGTGGTGACCCACGGCCCGGCCTCCCCACACCCCTGTGGAGGCTTCTCCATCTTCAGGAAACTGGCCGTGCGTCTGGGGAAAGTGCTGGGCTCTGGGTGGGGGATGTGTGGAGCCTTCACTCCTTCGTGGGCTCCGGCTAGAGTGGGAAGATGCCCCGCGGGCACCGCTGTCCACGGTCCCGGGCCACCCGCAAGGCAGCTGCTGGGCAGCTCCATCACCCCGGTGCCACAGCCTTCCCGAGGGTGCGATAGGACACCAGCATCTGCCAAGGCTGTGGTTCCCAGTGCTCGCTGAGCCTGTGGTCTGAAGTGCCAGTTGACCGCACTCCCATGTGGAGGACAAAGCGATGCAGTGCGGGGCCGGACAGAGTGCGGCTCAGCGCCTGCAGCCAGTTGGCAGCCTGCTGGGTCCCTGCAGCCTTGGCTCTGCGCGTGGGCTGCTGGCCCCACTGGCCAATGGTACCAGCCCCACCTCAGAGAGAAGAAACCAGGGGCCAGAGCAGTAGAATGCGGGGAAGGTGCTGGCCTTGACGCAGTCGAGCCGGGTCTGATCCGGATCCCCTGTGATCCCTGGAGCATTGCCAGGAGTGATCCCTGAGCGCAGAATCAGTAGTGATCCTTGGGCACTGCCAGGTGTGGCCCCCGACCAAACTTCATTCATCACACGGAATGCGCAACTGCACAACTGTAGCCGTTGAGCTGCGAAGGGGGATCGAGGCTCCGCCTACCCGCTCAGCCCCTCGCCGGGCAGGCAGCCTGTGGGGACTTGCCCACTGCCTGGCCCCTCGGCCTCAGAGCAATGGGTGCCCTTGCTCTTCAAGCAGGAGAGGACACAGGGACCATATCCCTTTAACTGAGAGGTTGTTGGGCCTCTGGCCACCCGCAGCTGCTCTCCCCAGCTTCCAAGGTTCCACCTCTGGCTGTAACCCGGCTTCAGAGGCCCAGGCGGGAGGCAGGCCAGAGAGGCTGGCCCAGGGCTGAGGCTGCAGGCTGAGTGGAGAGCACACTGGCGTGGCTGGTCCAGTGGCCGCCAGCTGGCCCTGCCCTCTCGGGAGCTTCTCCAGAGCTGTAGCAGGCTCCAGAGTCCCTTCCTTCAGAGAGAAGCGACGGGAGGAAGAGTGTGTGTGTATGTGTGTGTGTGTATGACTATATGTGTGAGTGGGGGTGAGTATGGTTGTGTGGGTGTGTATGACTGTGAGTATGGTTGTGTGTAGATGTGTGTGAGTGTATGAGCATGTGTGAATGTGAGTGTGAGTGGGGTGAGTATAGTTGTGTGTAGATGTGTGTGTGAGTGTATGAGCATGTTTGAATGTGAGTGTGTGCGTATGAGAGTGTGTGAGTGTATGAGTGTGTGAATGTGTGTGTGTATGAGTGTACGAGCGTGTGTGAATGTGAGTGTGTGTGTGTGAGTGGGGGTGAGTATGGTTGTGTGAGTGTGTATGACTGTATGTGTGAGTGGGGTGAGTATGATTGTGTGTAGGTGTGTGTGAGTATATGAGCGTGTGTGAATGTGAGTGTATGAGTGTGTGTGAATGTGTGAGTGTGAGTGGGGGTGAGTATGGGTGTGTGTGGGTGTGTGAGTGTGAGTGGGTGTGTGAGTGTGAGTGTGGGTGAGTCTGTGTAGATGTGTGAGTATGGGTGTGTGTGAGTATGGGTGTGTGTGAGTGCGTGAGTGTGGGTGAATGTGTGTGGGTGTGTGAGGCTGGGTGTGAGTGGGGGTGACGGGGTGAGTTTGTGAGGGTGAATATGGTGAGTCCGTGAGTGTAGATGGTGTGTGTGTGAATGTGTTTGTGAGACTGTGCATGAGTATGAGTGTATGAATGTGAGAGGGTTGTGTGTGAGGGTGTGTGTGAGGGTGTGTATCTGAGTATGAGTGTGTGTGATTATGTGTGTGTGAGTGTGTGAGGGTGTGCCTGATTGTGTGAGAGTGTGTGGCCACGGCTGTCCTTGCTCAGGATTGGCCTCGCAAGGCTGTGAGGCCATGGAAGCTTAGCTCCACGCAGGCAGAGCCTGGGCCGGGAGGCGGCTTGCGGGGCCTTGGGATGGCTGGAGCCGGGCGTGGTGCTGCCCAAGCAGGGGTGCAGCCAAGGGCAGGGCCAGTGCCGGGCTCTGCCTGCTGTCCCCCTGCGGAGCCATGGAGGGCCCGTGGGCAGTGTTCAGAGCTGGGCTGGTTCCACCCGGATGGGGCCAGCGCTGAGGGCTGTGTCCCACGGCCTGAGTCCAGCTGCATCCTGAAGGGACCTTGGGCCACAAGGAAGGATGGGCTGCCCACGCTGTCTGCCCACCACGGAGCATGGGACCTCCCAGGCACAGCCCTCCTGGCTGAGCTGGAGGGGGCGGGGAGGGATTTGCGGGCAGAGGGTGGACAGGGGAGAGGCTGGTGCCCCTTAGGAATCTTTGCTCTTATTTTTTTTTTTTTGCTTTTTGGGTCACACCTAGCAATGCACAGGGGTCACTCCTGGTTTTGCACTCAGAATCACTCCTGGTGGTGCTCAGGGGACCATATGGGATGCTGAGAATTGAACCCGGGTTGGCCACGTGCAAGGCAAATGCCCTACCTGCTGTGCTATCGCTCCAGCCCCAGGAGTCTTTGCTCTTGGGGCTATATCCCCTTCGTCTTTCTGAAGAGTCACATGAGTCACTATGGGACCCTCCACGGGGCCTCCTCTGACCCTGACCCTGCCTGACAAGGCCCTCTGCACTCAGAGAGCCCAGGGATGTGGTCATCGGCCGTCCCTCCACCCAGTCGTCTCCTGGACCGCAGGCAGCTCTGCTCGCTTCTGCTCTCGTGACTGTCCCCCAGACACGGGCTCTTCGGCTCAGGTGAACGTATGGACGAAGGCTGGACAAAGGCCAGGAGCAGTGAGGCAGGAGGCCATTCTGGGCCTGTCTGAGCCCTGGTGCCCTCTGCCTCCTCACTCTCCTGAGCTGGGTCTTTCTGGGCCAGACGAGACTTGGCAGAGAGTCAGGCTCCATCTACAGAGTCCCTGCTCCTGCCCTAGGCAACCAACCAACCAACTTTAAAGAGGCTTTATCAGTGGAAAAGAATTTTTAAAGAGGACAGAGGAGCTGGAGCGATAGCACAGCGGGTAGGGCGTTTTGCCTTGCACACAGCTGACCGGGTTCGATTCCCAGCATCCCATATGGTTCCCCAAGCAGCGCCAGGAGTAATTCCTGAGTGCAGAGCCAGGAGTAACCCCTGTGTATCGCTGAGTGTGACCCAAAAAGAAAAACAGAAAAGAAAAAGAGGACAGAGAGATGGTACGGATAGTGGGGTTGCCTGTGACCTTGCATGCAGCTGACCTGGTTCGGTTGCTGCCACCCTATATGGTCCCCTAAGCTCTGCCAGGAATAATCCCTGAGCGTCACCAGGTGTGATCCCCACCCCAAATAAAACAAAACCCAGAATGAAAAGTAGAAAAACAAAGTGTGTTATGAGTAGAAGGAAGTTTTATCCGGGTTTTGGTGTTGCCAGATGTTGAAATTTAGCGGCACCGGGCAGCAGACCTGGGCCCACACTGCACATGCCATCAGCAAGGGGCACTGGGCCAGTGACAGCCTTTTGGCATCAGGCCTGACCGACTCGCTGCAGGTCTCCTGCACGGGCCCCCCTGGGGAGGACAAGGGCAGCGACTGCCCCAGTAACGTGGAGAACACTCTCCCTCTCACTGCCGCCATCTTAGCCCTCACCCCTCACACCTCCAGGCTGACCATCCCCGATCCGCCTCCTTCCCCCTCACCCGGGGACAGACTTTTTGCCTTGCCCAGATGCCAGGCCCCTAGCCTCACTTCCACCTCGCATCTCAGTCGGTCCCTGGGAGAGGGCTGAGTACGGTTGTGTGAGTGTGTATGACTGTATGTGTGACTGGGGTGAGTATGGTTGTGTGGCAGGGAGTGGCAGGTCCTGTTGACACACACCAAGACGCATACCCATGACCCCCCTCTCCCCCTCCCCGGCCTGACACATACCCATGACCCTCCCCTCCCCCCCCCCGCCCTGACCTGTGCCAGTACACTGACAACAAAACCCAAACCAAAATCCATCTGCCAGTCCCCATGGTGTGAACACACGCACCGTGTCTCCCACTCCCCACAGCAGCTCAGACCCCCCCAAGAAGCACTGAACTCACCCCCGGCCTCCTCCCGCAGCGTGAATCTCCAGCAGGCAGGCCCCATCTTCTGCTTCACAGTGGACAGAGGTGGGCGGTGGGGACTCACCCCACTTTGACCCACTAATTGTGTGTGTGTGGGGGGGGCAGGCTGGGTTACACCTGGCAGTGCTCGGGACTTACTCCTGGCTCTGTGCTCAGGGGTCACTTCCGGAGGGCTTGAGAGCCCCTTGCGGTGCCCGGGGTTGAACCGGATGGGCCTCAGGGCAGGCAGGAGCCCCTCACTGTCCTCTCTCCGGCCCCTCCTTGTTTGTGTTTGCTCCTTCCTTCTGCACACAGTCCTACTCTCGCCCCCGTTTCTGGATGCCACTTCCTCTTGTTTTTTGTTTTTGTTTTATTTTCTGAAAATTTCCTTGTCTTCCTACACAGCATGTTCTCTTGCCTAAGAAAGCAAAGTCACACAGCAAACACTTTTTTTAATATTTTATTTATTTATTTGCTTTTTGAGTCACACCCAGCGATGCACAGGGGTTACTCCTGGTTCATGCACTCAGGAATGACTCCTGGCGGTGCTCGGGGGACCATATGGGATGCTGGGAATTGAACCCGGGTCGGGCCGCGTGCAAGGCAAACGCCCTACCTGCTGTGCTCTGGCTCTGTCTCCTTCCTTCAGAGCCAAGCTCTGTGCAAGTGTTTTCTGCGACCAGTTTCTACCTGCTGGTCTCCGTCCAGCCCCTGCAGCCCAACTGAGCTCCCTCTACAGTGCTCGATCAGAGTGCATTGTGGGTCCCCTGGGACTGACTGTCTTCTTGCCCAGTAGTGTGCATTCCTCACTGCTTCTCCTGCAGCCTTAGAGACTGAGCCAACCACCACAGCCATGGCTGTGACGTTCTTGGCTTCTCTGCTTCCGGGTCAGCATCCGCCATCCTGCCAGCCTTCTCCAGGCCTCCGGCCAAATCCAATGGCCCATAGGCCTCTCACAGCCACCAGCTAAAACCCGAGCTCAGATTTCTGGTGTGAGCGGAGTCGGGGCCGGAAGAACCCAGCGGGGAAATGATGGTTCAGACTCGGAATGGGTCAGTTCCCAGATGTTCTGCTCCCCAGCAACCTGGCCAGTTCCACCTCTCTCCGGTCAGTTTCCCCGTGTGTGAATTTAAGTGTGATCAACAGTCAAACAAATATCAGGGACCTTACATATAGGACAGGGTTTAAGGTGCTTGGCTTGCACGCAGCTGGCCCAGGTTCAAACCTCAGCACCACATTTGGTCCCCTGAGCCTGCCGGGAGTGAGCCCTAAATGCAAGCCAGGAGTAAGCCCTGGGCGTCTCTGGGTGAGGCCCCAACCCTCCCAGCCCCCCAGAGTATCCCTAAGAACTGTCAGTCACCATTCCAACACCCCTTGTCTCCCCCTTTCTCTTGCTCCGCCTCCTTCCAGTCTCCTGACTTGGTTCTCAGGGTGACGGCAGGGGCCGGCCTCCATGGACACACATAGACACAAGCCTCCCATCCACCCTCGGTTTTAAAGTTCTTTAGATCTCTTTGTGACTCTCCTGGTGAATTACTCGCATGGCTCTGCTCTCAGCCGCCCTGGGAACGCCCCGAGAAGTGGCACACGGAGCCCATCTCGTTCATGCCTGTCTTTGCACATGTCACTCTCCCTGATGAATTTCTTCCTGCTGTCCCTTCCTTTGCCCGGTCGAGGTGGTTCCGAGGGGAGCGGCAGACCAGTGAGGGGTGGGGGCAGGGTCCCTCAGAGCCCAGCCCTCGTGGAGGCTTCCTGTGTATTCCTGTGACTGTTTCCGCGTGCCCCTCGCAGACAAGCCTGTTCTCCCCACAGCTGCGGATCCCATCCCCCTGTCCCGCGGAGACTCGGCTGGGACCACAGGCTGCACCAGGGACCAGGCTGTCCAGGACCGGTTAGACGTCCTGGAGGAGGTAAACTGTGTGATCCAGGACCCGTGGCTTTATCACGCTCAGACCCAACTTTCCTGGGAATAGGGAAACTCCGGCTGATCCTGCCCTGCTGCGTCCAGCCCCTTCTCCCCTGAGGGAATGACTGCATGGACCAGACCCCAACAGGACCTGCCACTCCCTGGCCTTCCTCCAATGGCTGGACGAAGTGGAAGCTGGCCGTTTTTGTTGTTGTTGTTGTTTTGTTTTGCTTTTTGGGTCACACCCGGCGATGCACAGGGTTACTCCTGGCTCTGCACTCAGGAATTACTCCTGGCGGTGCTTGGGGGACCATGTGGGATGCTGGGGATCGAACCCTGATCGGCCGCATGCAAGGCAAACGCCCTACCCGCTGTGCTATCGCTCCAGCCCCAAAGCTGACAGTTTTTTGTGACAAGCACAGTTTATAACCAGGGATTCAGAACCGTCAGGGGTGGAGGAGGGTTCCATTTTGTCTGCACAAACCCTTGTCTGAAGCATCACCTTTTCACTGATAAAAACCACACTGATTTTCACAGTATCATGGCGGGTATCACTAGGAAAAATTTCACTCCATCGTGGCTGTTATTCTCAGAGCTAGCTGGCATATCACTTTTTCTCATCAGTATGACAAACCTATAACAGCAATTTTAGGTTAATGTTTGATCATGTTATATGGTGGCAATCAGCGTATACTTTTATATTTAGATACTTTTATAGTAGAATATTTTAATTTTTCTTGTGACCACCCCTTGAAGTGCTCAAAGTTTAGTACTTGCTCTGTGATCGGGGTCACTCGTGGCAGGGCTCAGGGTCCACATGGGGTGCAGGGGATTGCATCTGAGTCAGCTGCGTGCAACGCAAGCGCCCCACCCCCTGCACTATCTCTCTGGCTTATGATGGATTATTTTAATGCCACCAGTGTTGCTGGGGCTCCTCTGAGCTCCTTCTCAGCTGAACCATTCTTCTAAGAAGGAATCCGCAGCTTTCACCAACCTGGTAACGGTCCAAGACACTCAGAACCCTGGAAATGCCTGGCTGCAAAGCTGTTGCTGGCAGAGCGGCCACCAGGGGGCAGGGCAGCAGAGGAGATGTGGGCGCCCACCAGGGCAAGACCCAAAGGGACAAGAGGGACCCTGGGGTGGCCCCACGCTCAGAGCCAGGCACAGACGCCGGGATTTTGTCATCTGGAGGATCTGGGCCTCCCACTCCGCTCCCATTTCTGACTAGGAGGTCTAGGCATGCCTGGGGAGGCGGCTTAGCCCTCCCCTCCCTCTCCGTCCTGTCCCTGCCCAGACGGTGGAGAAGACCGTGGAGCAGCTGGAGGCGGAAGTGAAGGACCTGCTGGACCTGCTGGAGGCGATCGGGCCGCTGGCCCCTGCCCTGAGCCCAGCCCCGGACCTCCTGGGAGGCAGCGAGCAGTTCAAGTAGGCTGACCGCAGTGGGGCTGCAGGGGCTCACTGGGCACCCGCATGGCCCCGTGCCCCTCCCCCGGCACAGAGGGGGTCGGCTGGGCTCACCGGGGTCGCCCCTTTTCTTTCAGGTCGCTTCTCAGTGCAGGCTGTGAGGAGGGGCCGGGCTGCGGGGAGTGACGCCCTTTCCCGTCCCGCCGCTTCGGGCCCCCGCAATGAAGACGTCTCCTGTCCCGGAGCCTCCTGAGGGGGTTCTGGGCCCCCATCCGGAAAGCTGCTGCAGCAGGGCTGGCCTGCGTGACCACCACGGGCAGCGCCACTGCTGGCACTTGGCGGGAAGTGGAGACTCAGACCCACGGATCTGCCGGGAACCAACACTCTGGTGGGGTCGCAGGGGCCACAGGACGCGCCCCCAAACCCAGCGCCACCCTCAAGGCTCCTCCAGCGGCTCTGTGGCACCTGATGTGAGCCCCCCAAAGCCTGTGCCTCGGCCCACCCCTTCCCCACCCTGACGTCTCCAGGGCTCTGCTGGTTCTGCACCTCATAAACATAAACGCCAGCCTCGTCTGTCTCCCCGGCCCGGCCCACCGTGGCACACCCTCGGCTGCCCTCAGACTCCGACAAGCTTTCGCTCTGTTCACACCTTTTGCCTATTAGGAATAATGAGGCAGAGAATGCGCTAAAAAGTTTTGTTCTGTTTTTGGTTTTTGGCGCACGGCTGGCAGTGCTCAGGGCTTACTCCAGGCTCTGTGCTCGGGACCATATGGGGTGCAGGGATGGAACGTGGGTTGGGATGTGCAAGGCAAATGCCTCCGCACTTACTATTGCTTGGACCCCTTTTCCCTTTTGGGGGGCAATTACCAAGTGGCGCTGGGGGCCGTTCCGGGCAGTGCTTGGGGACCATGAGGAGGTGGGGCGCAGAGCCGTACTCTCGAGTGCTCATGCCCTTTGAGCCACCCCCTGGTCTGGAGTCTGGGGGGATTTGGTGAGGGGCAGGGGGCTGGACCAACCTGGAGGCAGGGCCTGGCTCAAACCTGGGACGGCTGCTACGAAACAAACACCTTCCCCTGGGACTAGGTTTCTATGAGGACCCCGAGATCCTTTCTCCAGGGTCTGGGCCTGGGGCTGGAGCTGGGCGGGAACAAGTAACCTAGGAGCAGTTTCTGAGGACAGGCTAAACAGTTCCCCGCTGTCCCACCCCACACAGGTCGAGTGTCCACAGGAGATCTCCAGGGTCCCCATTTTCTCATTTTTTGCTGTTCCATGTCACTGGCAATTTGTGGCTCTCTTTTTTTTTTGCTTTTTGGGTCATACCCGGCAATGCTCAGGAATCACTCCTGGCAGTGCTCAGGGAACCAGATGGGATGCTGGGCAAACGCCCTCCCCACTGTGCTATCGCTGGGGCCTCGTGTGTGTCTTTTGTGAAGAAACATCTGGTCAAGTGTTCTGCCCATTTGAAAACTGGACCTTTTTTTTTTTTACTGAGTCGCTATAGGTTATTTACGGTTTGCAAATATTCGTCCCAGTTACCAACCTTGACTTTGAAACTCTTTTGCACTGATGAAGTCTAACTTTTCGGTTACTGTGGCCGCATGGTCTCATTTCAGGATCCACTGTTGCCTGTGTTTATGGGCCTTTTCCCCCTAAGGTTTTTACAACCTACTTTTAACCCTTTCTTTAGTTCTTTGACCTACTGTGTTTAGTTTGGTATATGGTTGAGGTAGAGACTTTGATGCCTTTGCTAGTAAACTTTTTCTATTTTCTCTTTTTGTGTTTCTGGACATACCTGGCAAAGCTCAGGGCTTCTGGCTTTATGTTCAGAGGTCACTCCTGGCAGGGATCAGGTGACCATATGGGGAGTGAACCAGGGTCAGCTTGCATAAGACAAGTCCTCTACCCACTGGGCCACCTCTCCAGTGCTGGACTACTTTTCAATCTTTACTTAGATCTATGAGATACACAGTCACAAAGCAGTTCAAGATCAGGTTTCAGTCTTACAATATTTGTACACTGACCAGTGCACACTTCCACCACTGATGTCCCCACCTTTTTCTTTTTAGGGGGTGGGGGCCACACCCAGCAGTGCTCAGAGCTAACCCTGGGCAAGATGGGGGGGGTGCATATGGGATGCTGGGATTTGAGCCCAGGTTGCCACATGTAAGGCTGACATTACTGCTGTATCATCGATCACGATCATGACCACGACCATGATCATCCTGTTGTTTGTCGATTGCCTCGAGCAGGCCCCAGTAACATCTCCTTCGTCCTAGCCCTGAGATTCTAAAAAGTGCCACATTCAAGGCGCTTTCAGGGTTAGGAGAATGAGACCCATCATTGTTACTGGTATTTGGCACATCGGGTACACCACGGGGAGGTTGCCAGACTCTGCCGTGCAGGCAGGTAACATTCGGTAGCCTCCCAGGTTGTCCAAATGAGATAATAAGATTGTATGAACTTCGATCAATCACCAAACACCCATCCCTTCACCAGTGCACATTTTTCACCACCAAAATTCCCAGTATCCCCGCCGCCCCCCCCCCCATTGCACACCTCCCCCTGCCTGTGTGGCAGACAATCTGCACAATACTCTTTCCCTACTTTGGGTACCTTCCATATTTCAAGCCTAGTCCCACCTGCAGAAAAGGCAATGCTAGACAACGTGTTTTGTATTGCTTGTTATGGACACAATATAATGTCGCTCGGCACAAGAGCAGCCCCGCGTGCTCTAGGAATTCTAAAATTTTACTAATTAGGTTCTGACGAGATCACTGCTGCAAGTTGCTCGCGTCTGAGCTACGCAGGGATTTTTAGGTATTTCTGGATGACTCTCCCTGACCCCAGCTGTCATTCCCACATCCCTCTCACCAGGCTCCTCCGGCCAGTCCCAGGGTGACACTCTTTCCCGCTTGCCTCCCTGGGTCCCTGCACCCTGCGGGATTTCTACGGCTGCATTTCCAGGTTCTGATAGCCTATGGGGCCCCATAGGCTGCTGAGATGTTTTCCTGGGCACAAACATACACTCAAGGGCATCGGCTTCTCTGGCTACGGAGGCCGGGTTCTCTCTGCCACGGGGCAGAACCATGTACAAGAAAACAAGCTGCATCAGGGATGTTTTCAGGACTTTGCAGCACCAGCTGCCTTTAATTGACAAATGGCTTTTGGCGATCAACATTCTCGTTTAAGGCACATACCAAGTAGCCGGAGCCCGGTGCTGGCGGCAGCTGTGCATGGAGCAAGGGGGGCACTCGTGGCTGTCTGGTGGCGGTGCTTGTGGAAAGCGGTGGTTGTGGCGATCCTGCCTGCCTGGCACTCGCCACCCAGCACCATCCACGCCACGCCCCCGTTGTGCCCCGTGTGGACACAGCAGAGACATTGCTTGCCTCTGTCTCCTGGTGACTAGAAAAGAGTGACCCAACAGAAACACAAAATTGCAGGACGGAAATGAAGCCGCGACTTGGCCACAAGAGGAAGGGGCGGCGTGAGTTACTCTCGTCTAAGTGGGCAGCAGGGGCCGCGGGTGGGGCGGGGGAGTCCTGAGACAGTGCTCGCCTGGCCAGCGGGACAGGGGCCAGGCAGCCGGGGTGGCTCGGGGGGACAGTGAGGGGCACATAAGCCTTCTGCCAGTGTCCACTCTGCCAGCGGGTGGACAGGAGCAGCCCCGTAGCGCTCAGTCATTGCCTCCACAGATCTTGAGTAGGATCTTCCGGTAATCCCCCGAAGTGTCTCCCTGCCACGCGGAGATGGGGGCTCAGATGAGGGTGCCTGCACGGGACCCTCCTGGATCAAGCTGGCGGCCGTCTCCACGCGGCTCCTGCTCGTCGGACCCCAAAGGTCTCACGGTCCCCAAACCCAGGAAAGCCCCAGGGTCGAGGCTAGAGTCTCTGTGTCTCTGTCTGTATCACATTCTCTCTCTCTCTCTCTTTCTCTCTCTCTCTCTCTCTCTCTCTCTCTCTCTCTCTCTCTCTCTCTTATCCAGGGCTATCGCAGACAGACGTACACAGCACACGAAACCAACACCCACCGTCCCCACAGCCTGGGTGACTCAGAGCCTAGTACCCACACTCTCCCTGCACTGGCCCTGCAGAGGCCCTGGGCGACAGCAGCTGTGCTGAGACACGTGTGGGCCCGGAACACCCAGCTCTCCTGTTTCAAACAAGCCAGGCCTGGGCAGTGCTCAGGCATCCTCTCCCGATGCCCCTGTGGGCTCACTGTGTGGGTAGCAGGCGTGAGGTGGGGAGGGGCGTGTCAGGAGGTGAGGAGGGACATGGCGGGGAGGGGCACGGTGGGGAGGCCACTTCTCCCAGCGATGTGCAAGCAGAGGCCCCGGTGTCCTGTGAGGGGCTGTGGGCCTTGGCAGCTAGTGGCCTGTGTTGATGACCACGGCATGTGACATGTGTGGGCCATGCACCCACAAAGCTCACCTGGCTGGGCAGGGGTGCTGTGACCTCACACTAGGGGTCGGCGGGGGTCTGTGACCCTCACACTAGGGGTGGGTGGGGGTCTGTGACCCTCACACTAGGGGTGGGTGGGAGTCTGTGACCCTAACACTAGGGGTGAGTGGGGGTCTGTGACCTCACACTAGGGGTGGGTGGGGGTCTGTGTCCCTCACACTAGGGGTGGGTGGGGGTCTGTGACCCTCACACTAGGGGTGGGGGTCTGTGACCTCACACTAGGGGTGGCGGGGGTGTGTGACCTCACACTAGGGGTTTGGGGGGTCTGTGACCTCACACTAGGGGTGGGCGGGGGTCTGTGACCCTCACACTAGGGGTGGGCGGGGGTCTGTGACCCTCACACTAGGGGTGGGCGGGGGTTTGTGACCTCACATTAGGGGCGGGCGGGGGTTTGTGACCTCACACTAGGGGTGGGGGGTCTGTGACCTCACATTAGGGGTGGGCGGGGGTGTGTGACCCTCACACTAGGGGTGGGCGGGAGTCTGTGACCCTCACACTAGGGGTGGGCAGGGTAGGTGACCCTCACACTAGGGGTGGGCGGGAGTCTATGACCCTCACACTAGGGGTGGGTGGGGGTCTGTGACCCTCACACTTGGGGTGGGCGGGAGTCTGTGACCCTCACATTCGGGGTGGGTGGGGGTCTGTGACCTCACACTAGGGGTGGGCAGGGGTCTGTGACCTCACACTAGGGGTGGGCAGGGGTCTGTGACCTCACACTAGGGGTGGGGGGGTCTGTGACCTCACATTAGGGGTGGGCGGGGGTCTGCGACCCTCACACTAGGGGTGGGCGGGGGTCTGTGACCTCACACTAGGGGTGGGGGGTCTGTGACCTCACATTAGGGGTGGGCGGGGGTCTGCGACCCTCACACTAGGGGTGGGCGGGGGTCTGTGACCCTCACACTAGGGGTGGGTGGGAGTCTGTGACCCTAACACTAGGGGTGAGCGGGGGTCTGTGACCTCACACTAGGGGTGGGTGGGGGTCTGTGTCCCTCACACTAGGGGTGGGTGGGGGTCTGTGACCCTAACACTAGGGGTGAGCGGGGGTCTGTGACCTCACACTAGGGGTGGGTGGGGGTCTGTGTCCCTCACACTAGGGGTGGGTGGGGGTCTGTGACCCTCACACTAGGGGTGGGGGTCTGTGACCTCACACTAGGGGTGGGGGGGGGTCTGTGACCTCACATTAGGGGTGGGCGGGGGTCTGCGACCCTCACACTAGGGGTGGGCGGGGGTCTGTGACCTCACACTCGGGGTGGGCGGGGGTCTGTGACCTCACACTAGGGGTGGGGGGTCTGTGACCTCACATTAGGGGTGGGCAGGGGTAGTGACCCTCACACTAGGGGAGGGCGGGGGTCTGTGACCCTCACACTAGGGGTGGTAGGGGTGAGGGGTCTGTGACCTCACGCCAGGCGTGGGCCCAGGCCTTGGGAACCCGAAGCCCCTGATCCCCGGCACACACAGTGGGCCGAACCTGGGCCCAGGGCCTGGGGGCTCTGCCCACTGCCTCGAGTCACAGGCTCCCTGGATCAGCCAAGAGGCTGATGCCTGACCTGCCCCCCCACCCCCAGGGGATGTGTCAGCCTCTGGGGGCTCAGGCAGGGGCGCCAGGACTGGCCTGACCTCCCACGGGGAATCGACTGTCAGCTGGGCTGAGCAGGTGAGGCTGGGGTGGGCGTCCCTAGGGCAGGGGGCCTTACCGTGATGTCGTGGTACAGAGACTTGCCGTACAGACGCTTGTACTCGGCTCTGATGTCCAGAAGGTCGATCTCACTGCGTGATACCATGATGCGGATGAGGGTTCGGTCCTTCGTCCCCGCGCCCTGAGGGGCCACACACAACAGAAGTTTGAGCTGCGGCCCAGGGGCTCCCATGGTGACCCTCCTTCCCAAGCCCTGGGATGCGGTTGGGGGGAAGGGGGGATTGCGTACCCTCATGGCCTTGTTGAGTCTCTCAGCAAAGAAGGCCGGTGTGTTCTTGAGACACTTCACTGCAAGAGACAAGCTCTGGTGAGCTGGTCTGCACCGGGGGTGAGCCCTTGGGGGTGGGGGGTGGGGGGCTGGAGCCAGACCACTGACCCTCTCTGCACCCCTTCCCCTCCGAATGTGGGAATGGGGAATGCTGTGGGAATGGGGAATGCGTCCCCTCAGGTATGCTTTGTTGTTGCAGAAAGCTGTCCTGCAAGGAGCTGCAGAGGGAAGGGAGGGAGCTGGGACGGAGCCAGGGCAGAGCTGGGGCAAGGGCGGGGGCTGTCACGAGTGCTGAGTGTGAGTGCCGGAAGCAGAGCCCAGAGCCCCTGCAGGAGATGCAGCTGCCCCAGAGGGGGTCTGTATGAGAGGCCAGAAGAGCCCCTTGGGAGCCCCCCGGAGAGTGGACACGAGCAGCTAGGGGCCGCTCCAGAGCTGAGCCCGTGCCCTCAGCCAGCTGCCCTGCTGTTTCCATCACAAACACCAGCCTGGCTCGCAGCAGTGTATTTTTAGAGGAAACTTGGCAGGATGTGAGTCAGCGGCCTTGGGGGGGAGGGGTGTATGTGGGGGGTGCGGGCAACGCCCTCCCTGAAGGGAGCCGGAAAAACAGGCAAGAGGCATCCGGGCCAGCTTTGGGGACCACCCAGCCTGCGGCCACCTACCCACGGCCAGCATGCCGTGCTCCAGGTCCCCGGACATCTCCCGGCAGATGCTCTTCTCGATGTCCCGGCCGGTCATCCGCTGGTACTCATTGAAGACTAGGGGGAAGACCAGCACCCGTCAATGTCCTGAAATCAGCCCTGCCCCCAAGTCCTACGTGGGAGCCCTTGACCTGCCGGAAGTCAGACGCAGGAGAACCACTGCCCCGACCTGCCCCTGCCCCAGCCCACTGGGCCCCGCCCCCAGCGTCTGACTTCCAAGAGCTCTGCCCTCCCGTGGCGATTTGTCTTGTTTTGCTTTGTCTGGGGACACACATGGCAGCGCTCCAGGGCCATCCCTAGCTGTGCTTAGACAGGACCACGTGTGATGCCAGGACTCGAACAGGATGGGTGGAAAGCGACTGCAACCCCAATCCCTGTGCGGTCTGTCTGTCCCCTGCTCCACCTGTGCCTGTCCCTTACAGGTAGAGTCCCTGATACGGACCCTCCCTGGCCTCCCCCTGACGTGCGTGAGTCAGGGGGAGTGAGTCAGCCCATCGCTGAGAGGGCTAATGGTGGTCGAGCCGGACCCTGGCCTGCCCTGAGCACATGGGCAGCCTGCAGTGCTGAGTTATTTTCAAGCCAGTTTGGGACACGCTGGGTCACCACAGAGAAGCCTGACTCGCCACAGTCCAGCACACTGCCCCACCCCACCTTTGCTTCCCCAGACCACAAGACCTGCAGCACTCAGAAACTCCGAGTTTCTCCTTAATTATCCCGGGGCTCTTCTAGGGCACGAGCCCCATTCCCTGGGGGCCTCACCTGCCACCAGGTGGGCCCGGCTCCTGGCGCACAGGATCGCGTTGAACTTGGACTCGTCTGTGCCCAGGCGGTTCTCCCCGGCCGCGTACAGCTCCTGGACGGGGAGAGGGCATGCAGAGCGTCCACCCCAATGGTAGGCCAGGCCTTTCTGGTCGATGGCTCGGCTGGCCCCTCCCCTGAGCAGGGACCCGCTGAGAGGTGCCCAGGGCGGGGGCAGCAGGAGAGGTCTAGCAGCCTCCCAGCCGGCTTCTCTGCTGCCGCCTGCCCCGGGCCTGCGCTGGCCTTCTGTGAACCTTCTTCAAAGACAGACTTGTATATTCAGGGTCACTACTGAGGGCCCGGAGTGGCCAGCTGGGTACCCTGACGAGGGGACCTGGCCAAACTCCAACAGAGCACAGCCCCCACCGAGCCTCAGGGCTCCGATGCAGGGAATTTAGGCGGGCACACGCCCCCAGGCCCACGTGCCCCCAGGCCCACCTGCCGCACTGCAGGCCTGAGTCCAGTCTCAGCCCCAACCCCAGGCCTCAGAGAGCCACTATCAGGCCCAAAATGATACCTAGGGTCAAAGGTGACAAGAGAGCTCAGAGACCCAGCAGGCAGGCGAGGAACCAGAAACACGGGTGGGAGCAGCCTCAGGGAAACGGGAGGTGGGGGGAGTAAGAGGCAGCTCGGGACACCCAACCCGGCCGAGAACTGCCGGGAGCCCATGGGAGGGGCCCGGGCCAGGCCTCGGCTCTGCTGGACAGGCCACCAGTCTGGCCCTGGGTCTGGCTCTGCTACTGGCGCACCTGACCACTCCCTAAAGGCCAGAGTCACTGGACCAGACTCGCTGCTGGACAGGCAGGCAGGACTGTCAGAGTGGCCCCCACCGGGCCTGTGGTGGGGACAGGGGGCAGACTCCAGGCCGCGCAGCGGAGGGACGGCTGGTCGCTAGGCTCAGGCCTCCAGGTGTGGCCGGCAGTCACCCACGGGGAACACAGCCTATCGGGCCACAGCCCCGGCCACTCTGCTCCTGTGTGCAGCAGGGTAGGGGCGGCAGAGTCGCCGGCACCACCCCGTGCCGCCTCTCGAGATGCCGGGCAGCGCCCACCTGGCCCCCTCGGCTGGTCAGTCACACTCACCTGGACATCTCTCTGGACGAGTGACATGTCCACGTTGGTGCTCTCGTCTCGGTTTCCCTGAAAGCAAGTGACCGTCAGGCCCCGCTCTGCCCTGCCCGTGCCCACGCCCGGCCAGCCGGACACACCTGTGCCAGGGAGATGAGCAGCCGCTGGAAGTGGCCGGACGTCTCGCTGCGGATGGCCTCCTCGAGGGTCTTGTGGAACTCTGAGGAGAACCAGGAGGGTCGCCCTGGAGCCGGGGGCCAGGCTGCCGGGGCCGGGCAGGGGCGGGAGGGACGAGGCTCACGGCACTGTGCTCAGGGCCCCGATTCCCGCACGCCCTCAGTGAGTAGCAGGCGGGAGGGGAAGGTGGGGGGGGGAGGGGGCACGTGTCCGGACCGGCTCACCTGCCCTGTAGGCCACGTTCAGGTCTCGGATGTGGTCGTTGCCGCGGGAGGCGAGGATCTCAATCAGGCAGGCCTCATCCGTGCCGGCCCCCTGATGGGCAGAGCAGGTGGCTCAGGGACAGCGGGGCCGGGCCGCACCTGGGTCCGGAGCACGGCTGCCCGCAGCAAGGAGCAGGACCCGGATGCGACTCGGAGAGAGGCCACGTGGGGCCCCACACAAAGGGCCACCCTGACCCTCGCCAGACGCCATGGACACAGGCGGGCGCCCTGCCGAGGCTCCAGGTGGGGCCTGGTTCTGCCTGACGCCGAGTTCAGCCCACATGAGAAAGACTGGGAGCATGGTTAAAGAGCGGGGTATGGGCACTCGGTCAGGACCCGCTGGGGACACTGAGGCAGCGGAAGGCAGAGAAGCAGGGGCGGGCCGTGACCTTGCTGTGTGACACAGGCATGACCCAGGCTCTGTGAGCGACACATGTGAGATCAGCACCTGTCTCCCCATCAGCTGGGTCCTGTGTGTGAATGAGGCAGAGTCCCCTCGGGGATAGGGTGGGGCTGCTGGCCCTGCTGTCATCCTGGGTGGGGGTGACCTTGGCCCCATGGGCAGGGAGTGGCCAGAGGCCAGGAGCCAAGTCTGTGGACACAGGCTCAGGTCACGCCCTCAGCAAAATCTACCCCAGTTCCAGCTGCTCACTGCCTCAGTCACCCTGGTCTGAGCCCGGAAACCAGGGCAGGCGTCCACTCTGCCCTCTGCGCTCGGCCTCCCTCCTGCTGGGCTGCTCAACTCTTCACAGCTCCCCTCAAGGGGCCGTGTCCTGTCCCTAGCCACAACATCTGCTCCCGACACGCACAGGGAGCTGCAGCCACATGCATGTGGGCAGAAGCTCGGCACAGGCCGCTGGGCCCCGTCAGCTGAGTGCAGGTGACATGCCCTGTCGTTGATTCTTCTCTGCTGTGTAGTGGGGCCCTGGAGGCCACCAGGGCCGCCCCTGACCCACACACAGCCAATCACAGCCCTCCTTGCCGAGGGGTCAGGGGTCCTCCTGTGACCGAGCTGGCCCTGCCCCGGGTCACCCGTCAGTGCCCCTGGCTGCCCTCGCTCTGCGTGGCAGGCTTCCTCACCAGCTCCCAATGCGGTTGGGGCGGGGGGGGGGGGGGGGGCGCGGCGTGGCTTGGTGTTGGGAGCCTCATCCCCCCTCCCCCCCTTGTCGCTGCCGTGACCAGGGCTGTACCTGGGATCACACATAGACATCACCGCGCGTGGTGGGGAAGATCAGACTCCCCTACGGAGCCAGGAAGCATGCACGCGAGCCGTTAGCAAGAGGCTGGAGAGACAGAGAGTAGCCTTCCCCTGGGCATACACAGGTGCGCTCACACACACACACACACTCACACCCACACTTACACCTACCACCTACTCACCCACACACACTACTCCCCCATCCCCCCACACACATTCTCACACTCACACTCTCACACCTACTCACCCCACACCCAGTCTCCAATCCCCCACATACACGCACCCACTCACATTCACACCCGCACATTCACACTCACACCTCCCACACCTACCCCCCCCCCCCCACACACACCTTGATGGCCTCCTTTATCTCGTAGACATCAAAAAGGATGGGGGTTTTCATTAGAGCCAAGATGGTCTTCTCAAAGTTCCCTGACAGCTCAGACTTCAGGTCTTTGATCAGATCCTGATGGGACAGACATGTGGGTTGTTAGGATCCAGAGGCTGACCAACAGGACAATAGCCCAAGGCAGAGGAAGCCACAGAGGCAGCGACAGGGCCCAGTGGGCTCCAGACCCCAGCCTCTGCCAGACCCCCAGGAAGGCTTGGGGTGCCCCAGAGCCAGGAACCCCAGGACTGGCCCATGAGCAGCTCCCATAGTCCCCCGATGTCCCCCTCGCGAAGGCCCGGAAGCCCCCCACTTTGAAGTGTGCAGGCCCCCCCTTGCCCTAGACTTCAGGCTGTTTCCTTGCAAGCTGGCAAGCTCCTCTCCTGGGAACCGTGAGTGGGCAAGGACAGGTGTCGGCCACGAGGGGCCCACAGGGGCAGCGCTGGGGAAAGGACCTGGCACCCGGCGGGGGCTGGATTCTGACTCCAGAGGAGCTGGACGGGCAGCAGAAAATGCAATCCCAGCGGCTGAAGCCCACCAGACCCCAAGGACAGTGGTGGGCTGGGACGCTCACCTTCCCGTAGGCCGTCTTGAAGGACAGAAGAATCTGCTGGCGCTGCTTGTTGGAGCGGCTGCCCAGGCAGTCGATAATGGCCTGCTCGTCAGTTCCTGTGGGGGGACAGGGACGGCTGGTCAGTCTCTGGGGGTGGGGGGACAGGGATGGGGACCGGGCTCTGTCTCTGTGATGCTGGGGATCACACCCAGGTCGGCCGTGTGCGGGCAAGCCCCTTCCGGGCTGTTCCATCTCTCAGCCTGAGCCCTCCAGTTCTCCTGGGCATCCTCAATGCACCCCCATGCCCACCTCCTCTTCCTCCCGACCCACTGAGCCACTGTGGAAACACTGAGGAGGGGGCCAAGGGAAGGAGAGGGTCCCTCCATAGTTACTCACCAAAGCCTTTCATGGCCTTGCGAAGGACCTCAGCATCCCGCATAGCGTCAAAGCCAGAAGCATCCATGATGGTCCCTCGGTTTCCAAACTTCAGACAGACAGACAGACAGACAGAGAGGTCAGATGCTGTGGCGCCGGCTCTGGAAGGGGTTCGGGGGAGCCCAAGGTCTCGCACCCAGTGGCCTGGCCCTCAGGATCAGTCCTGAAGCCCACCTCCCACTGAACGGGACACTACAGAGTGCTCCTGCTTCAGGCGGGCACTGGCCAAGCCACCACGGCTGAGAGTGGACTCAGGGTCCTCCCAGTGGCACCGCTAGCTGCAAACCACCTCTGTGCCTCAGAGGCGTCAGGGGCAGAGTGAGGCCCAATAGTCACGGCATCCAGCGTGGGCCTGGGGCACAGCTCTGCCAGGGCTGCCCAGTGTCCTGGTGGCCTGGCACTGTCCTGAAGCTCCAGCAGCATGGGCATCCCAGCCATCCTGCTGCGCCCTGACCCTGGGTCCACCTTAGCTGTGGGCCCTGCGTCCCCCACACAGCAAACCCGAGTTTCCTTTTGAACTTCCTCCTGCTGTTCAGTTAAGGGGTGAGTGCCGAGGTGAGGTGGGAGGCAGAGCAGAAGGAAGGAAGGAATGTGTGGGGGGAGGGACCCTCTGGCTGAGAGCCATTGGCACATACCACGGTGGGGCGGGGTGGCCACGTGGCCATGCCACAAATCCTGGACTCTCCCAAGTGAGCCACTGTGGGCCCTGAAGGAACCACCAAGAACAGTTGTCCCCGAGGAGGCCTCTGGGGCCCCTGCAGACAGCCTGTGGGGCCACAACTGGGCTGAAGCCCCAGGGCTGGGTCGGACACGGTGACCTGAGGGCTCCTGCCTGGGAGCAAAGGGCTGAGAGGGATGAAGGGCCCGTGGCCGGGCGCTGGGACCCCACCATGACAGGGAAACGGTGGGAGGAGCTGTTCCATCCAGGCGACAGGCTGGGCAGGGGGGCATGGGGCCGGCACTTACCTGGGCAGGGGGCACGGCAGGGGTGACGGGCCCAGATGCCTGGTATCCTGGGTAGCTTGGCACAGGCTGCTGCTGGCTGGGAGGTGGCACGGGGGTCTGCCCAGGGTAAGCTGTTGGCACCTGGCCGGGATAGGCTCCCGGAGGCTGCTGTCCAGGCACCGGGGCCCCTGGATAGGGCGGGTATGCAGGCATGGCAGAAGGCGGGTTCCCCCCAGGGGGCGGGTACATGCCGAATGGAGGGACGGGCTGCTGGGCAGGAGGGGGCTGCCCAAATCCCCCAGGGGGGATGGGCGGGTAACCGCCCCCAGGGGCTGGCGGGTACAGGTTAGGGACGTTGGCGCCTCCGAAGGTCCCCGCCATGTTGTTGGCCTAGAAAAATTCACAAAGCAGAGTGAGATGAACAGTGTTTATGGGGAAGAGAGCAAGGTGTGGTGCCCCCGGGGGAGAGTGGGTGTGGGGCACAGCTGGACAATGATGCGCCCTGCCTGGTACAGGCCCTGGACCCCCGCCTGATCCCTGTGGTGACAGGGACCTGGGGGTCCACAGGCCCCAGGATACCCGCCCCCCACAAGGAAACAAAAGGGCCCCAGGTCAGCGAGCTCCGAGAGGCTCTGTCCGGGGACTGTGCCCAGGTGCCCACAAAGCCCAGAAGCAGTAGCCCAGTTCCTGGGCACTCACCATCCCCGAGAGGTAGTCCTGGTTGAACTGCCCCGAGTAGTTGGCCACGTTGTCCAGACCGATGGGAGGCATGGTGGACGGTGGGTAGGCCGCCCCTCCCCAGGCGCCACCTGCAACATCCCTGCTGTAAGGTGCCGTCCCTGCCCTGCGGGGCTGGGCCAGGTGCCCCCCCAGGAGGGTCTGAGGGACTCTGCTGCCCGTGACCCAGGGGCTCCTCCTGGCTCGAGTAGGGCAGGGGGACCGGGCAGGGGGCTGGGCAGTGCTGGGGGACTGTGGGCTGCTCGCTCTGTCCAATCTGGGAGAGGCAGGAGAAGCCGGGGAGGTGGCCAGAATCAAGTCAGACCGTACCTTCCTGACCAGGGGGTGACACTGCTGGACATACTTCAAACTACCGAGACAAGGCCTGAGTGCACCGCATGGACAGGCAGGGCCACCAAAGCTGGCCAGGCGGTGGCCAGCACGAAGCTGGACAGCAGTGCAGGCTGTGATGCGGACGGCAGGACCTGGGCTCCTGCTGTGGGGACAGCGTCCCTGACACGTGTGTGGCACGGCCCAGCACCTCCCGTGTCCTCCCTTGTGGACAGGAAGCAGGGACCCAAATGGCCCTGGGCTGCCGCGACTCAGTCTGAAGCCACTTCGCAGTGGCTCCCAGGTGGGTCTGTGCAGCTGCAGGACCCGTGTGACCCACTGTCCCCTCCCTCCTGGGGGGACCAAACTATAGTTGGCAGGAGCCAGGCAGAGCAGGGCCAGGCGGGCTCTGCCCTCCTCCGCCCAGACCTGACCCCGGCAGTTGCCCTCATTGCCCTGGCCGGGGGAGGGCTCAGAGCAGGGGACAGTGCATGCTCCTGGCTGGCCTCCAGCACAGCCTCCACCCCGCACCCCTGCCAGACCCGACCTCTCACCTGGAGCAGCGGGCGGGTAGCCTCCTGCGGGTGGCGGGTAGCCGGGGTAGCTCATGGCTGAGTCTGGAAGGAAGGAGGAAAAGCTCAGAGACTCGGACCGCCACGGGCTTTGGACAGCTCTCAGGAGACCGGCAAATGCGGAAGGTTCTGGGTCAGGCTCAGATCCGGCTCCAGAGGCCCCAGTCCGACAGCAGGGGGTCCCGGAACACCCCCGTGCCCAGCTTCCCCTTGGGGACGAGAGCGTGGCTCAGTGGCACTGTCCCCTCAGCTCTGGTCCAGAGTACATGGCCCTGCTCTTGGGGGTCAGACCCCTCTGCCAGGCTACTGGCCATCGTCCACTGCGACCAAGGGACCAGAGGTGTGGACTTCCTGGGCCCAAACCAGGCAGCACAGATGGGCCCCGGGGAGGGCAGGAGGAAGTGGGGGAGGCCTGCATGCTTCCCAACGGGGTTGCTGGGATGCCCACCATTGCTCTGTACACAGACAACTAGGCTGCCTGGGAGGGACACATGGCCGCACCCTGGCCACCGTGTCTGCTGGCGACAGCTGCAGGCTCTACGGAGGCCCGGCGGAGGCTGTGAGCCAGCACCCTGCTGTCCTGGGTGGCCCAGTTCTCTGTGGTATCAGGCCCGGGACCTGGAGCTGCACCATGCATCAGGGTCACATTGGGCAGCACCCCGGCTGAGTCACAAGGGCCAGGATCTGCACTTTCTCCTCTGGGCTGTGCCACACGCAGGCTCTGCCTGTTTCAAGCCATAACAGTCTCCAAACGGGGTTCTGAGCTCACTGGGGCCGCAGAGGCCAACCGTGGCCTTCCAGGGTTCAAACAACTCACACTGGCTCCAATCAGCCAGGCCGTGGCCGCACCATGCCATAAGCACCCATGGACGCCCGCCTGCCCCCTGGCAGCCCCCAGGCGTGCTGCGAGCGAGAACCTGTCTCTTTGTGGAGCCGCATCCATCCCACCAGCCCCCCACCCCAAGGAGGGAGAGGAACTCCAGCCCAATGCTCATCTTCCCGTGGGGCGTCCTTCTGGGAACACAGAAGTCCCTAGTAGAGGGAGGTCCACGGGACCATCCCCGGGCAGAAGGCACGGGGACACCACCCTGGCAGGCCACACAAGAATGGACGCTCTTGTTGTTCGGTGTCGGGCTTGGGGGCCACACCTGACTGCTCAGGGCTGTCTCCTGGCTCTGAGCAGGAATCACTCCAGGTGGGGCAGGGGGTAAAAGCCGATCCCCTGCAGTGCCCTGCTCAGTTTGCTTTTCTGTTCCAAGCTTTGTGGATGCTTTGTTCATGTATGGCGAATGAATACTTTCTCCATTCAGTGGAGTGGCTTTATTTTAGGCCTCATTTATTTCTCCTGCAGAAGTTCTTTACTTTGGTGTGGTCCCATTTGTTTGTTTCTGCTTCGGTTTCTTCCTCAGTAGGGAGGTCTCACTGAAACCCCTCCAGTCTGCGCCCTGGACAGTTCTGCCTGCTTCCCACAATGTATCTTATGCACTGAATACATCTTACGTTAGACAGTGTATCCCCTACATCCTGTGCATCTTAGACACTGGATACATGATACTTTATACATCTTAAATTCTTTGTACCTTGTACATTATATAATGTATGCAGCTATAGCACAGACTTGCACACGGTCTAGCTGGGTTCGATTCCTCCGTCCCTCTCAAAGAGCCCGACAAACTACTGAGAGTATCCCGCCCGCACGGCAGAGCCTGGCAAGCTACCTGTGGTATATTTGATATGCCAAAAACAGTAACAAGTCTCACAAGGGAGACGTTACTAGTGCCCACTCAAGCAAATCGATGAAAAGTGGGAGAACAGTGCAGTGTTCCAGTGCATGTTATACATTCAATGCATCTCATCTCAAGTTCTTTGATCCGTTTTGTTCTTGTTTTGTTGCTGCTTTTATTTTGGGGCCACACCCCACAGTGTTCAGGGCTGACTCCTGGCTCTACAATCAGGATCACTCGAACTGGGTGGGCTACCACTCCAACCTCCTTTTGTAGGACTTTGATCTTATTTTCTGTCTGTCTGGGGGCCACACCCGGCTATGCTCAGGAGTTGCTCCTCGCTCTACACTCAGGGATCACTCAGGGTGGTGCTTGCAGGACCATATGGAATGCTGGGGATTGAACCTGGGTCAGCCGCCAGCCACGTCCCTCCCTGCTGCACTCTCTCCAGCCCCCGATCTAGTTTCTTTTCTTTTTTTTATTTTTTACTTTTTTGCTTTTTGGGTCACACCCAGCGATGCACAGGGGTTACTCCTGGCTCTGCACTCAGGAGTTACTCCTGGCAGTGCTCAGGGGACCCTATGGGATGCTGGGAATCGAACCCGGGTCGGCCGCGTGCAAGGCAAACGCCCTCCCCACTGTGCTATTGCTCCAGCCCCTCTAGTTTCTTTTAAAAGCTTCTTGCACCGTCTGTTGAGGAGACTTTCCTTCCACTTCACGCACCCAGCTCCTTCCAGCTGAGGGGTCACTGGTGGGCTCTCAGCTCTAGTCCGCTGGTATGTAGGTCTGTCGCTATCACAGCACCACCCAGCTCTGATTACAGCTTTCACAGCCTCCATCCTCTTTGTTCTCAGAATTGCCTTGGCTATTTGGGGAGTTTTACGGTCTTTATGAACGTCAGAAATCGGATATTTCGCTCCATGTCCTTGAAGAAGGCCATGGGAATTTGGGCGGAGACTGCGCTGAACGCCTATGGCCCTTTAGGTAGTTAAGTCGTGTAAACACATGACTCCTTCCTTTCACTCCATGAAAATAAGAATGTGTTTCCATTTCTATATGGCTTTCATTTTTTCAATTGTTCCAGTAGTAATTTATAGTTTCACTATAAATCTTTCACCTCTTTTGTTAAATTGATTTCTAGGTATTTTACTATTCTTGGACATGATTATACATGGAATTTAAAAATTTCTTTCTTGGGACCAGAGTTATAGTAGAGCAGGTAGGGTGCTCACCTTGCATGCAGTGACCTGAGTTCGATCCTCTGCATCCCATATGACCCCTGAGCACTGCCAGGAGTGAGTCCTGGGTGTAGACAGTACGGTCAGACACCAGAGCACTGACAGATGTGGCCCCCAAACAAAACAAAAATTATTTATCTTCAATGTCATTGTTTACATTTAAAGGTACAATAGATTTCTGGCCTTTTTTCCCCCTCTATGCTTTGATTTTGAAGCCTGCCAGTTTAAAGGCTTTACTGTTTCCAGGACACTCTCTCTCTCTCTCTCTCTCTGCATAAGTCTTCAGTGTTTTTTATGTATAATGCCATGTCATCAGTAAATAGTGGAAGTTCAACTTCTTTGCCAATTTGAATCCCTTTCTTTTCCCTTCCCTCCTGCACTGTCAGCAGTAACCCCTGAGAACACTGTCAACTGTGTCCTCCACCCCAACACAAGCTTTACTAGCAGAAGCCCTGGATACCTCTGATACCATATGGTCCTCAAAGTACCACCAACTGCGACACCCTCCCCACAGCATCACCAGGTGTGCCCCAAAATAAACAAAGATATGCAGATAGCAGATCAGCGCATGGAAAGATTCTCAACATCAAACACTACCAGGGAACTGGAAATGAAAATAATATACTGAACTTAATATACGGCCAAAGTCCAGAAGAGAGACAGCTACCAAGGCTGCAGCATAGTCCCTGTCATGTGGGTAGAAATGCAAAATGGTACAGGCCCTGTGGCAGACAGCCTGCCAACTCCTCCCTCCCTCCCTCTTTCTTTCCTTCCTTTTAGGACCACACTACGCTGTATTCAGGACTTTTACTCCTGGTTCTGCACTCACGGATCATTTGTGATGGGGCTCGGTGACCATATGGGGTGCCAGGGATTAAATCTGGATAGGCCACCGGAAAGGCAAGCGCCCTCCCCACAGTACTATCGCTCCAAGACCAAACTGCCAATTCCTTATCAAACTTAATAGACTTGTTTGCATGATGCAGACACCAGCTGAAGGAACCAAAAACTTACAGCCACGCAAACATGCACTCCACAGGGGTGCATACAAATGTACTCATAGCTGCTCAAACTCGGCAACGGCAGAGATGCATTTCCGTGGATGAACGGATAAATAAACCAAACCTGGAGTGTTACTCCATGAGGGAAGGGGAGGAGCTCTCCCTCAGCCCACGCAGGGCGTGGAGGCACGGCAGAGGCATGCTGCCATGTGGAGAGCCAGCGCCAAGAGGCCACGTGAGCTGTGGGCAAGGCAGGGGGAGCGGGGGGAAGGGGACAGCCGGAAGTTACAGGATGAGCGGAGGGAAGCTCTTCTAGAAGTTTGTTTGGTTTATTTTTGCTTGCTTTATTTTGGGGGGAACCAATGTTCAGGACTTACTCCTGGTTCTGCACTCAGGAATCCCTCCTGGCAGGCTCAGGGACCTTATGGGATGCCGGGGATGGAACCTGGGTCGGCTGCATGCAAGGCAAACATCCTACCTGCTGTATGATCGCTTTGGGCCCTGAAGCTCTTTCAGATGATCCCAAACCTGGGAAGGCACTTGCACGCCAGCAAAAGCTCCCTGAGGTGCTTGCTTCCATCAATGGAGAACCAAAGCTGAGCAGGCCGAGCTGGGAGGGGTGCAGAGAGTACACGGGAGATCTGCACTGGCCACTCACTCCCCCCACCCACACTTTTTATTGATTCACCGTGAGGTACAGTAACAACTTTCATGTTGGAACTTCGATCATCACAATCACGATCACGATCATCCTGTTGTTCGTCGACTGTCTCGAGCAGGCACCAGTGACGTCTCCTTCGTCCTGGCCCTGAGATTTTAAGAAGTGCCATATTCAAGGCTCTTTCAGGGTTAGGAGAATGAGACCCATCATTGTTACTGGTATTTGGCACATCGGGTACACCACGGGGAGTTTGCCAGACTCTGCCGTGCAGGCAGGTAACATTCGGTAGCCTCCCAGGTTGTCCAAATGAGATAATAAGATTGTATGAACTCCGATCAATCACCAAACACCCATCCCTTCACCAGTGCACATTTTTCACCACCAAAATTCCCAGTATCCCCGCCCCCCCCATTGCACACCT